TCTTCGGCTCTATATCTCTTTCTAGATATAGCTCTATATCCCGTATGTAGAGTGGTGTTGCGAGTCGTAATGAGCTTTGGCGTTCTGGCCTAAAAATGATTAGCCAGAATGACGTACCGGCAAAAAAAATTAAACTAATGGTGTTTATGGCATCGTGCCTTAAGGCAAATTGCTGGAACTTCCCGTACCAAATTTTTTTTCTTTTTTTAAGGATTAACATTTTTGAGAAACTATAAATTTTTGACAAAAATTTACTTTGTCTTGAAAAAAAAAGACATTTTGAAGAAAAATTTATTTTGAAATATTTTGGAAATTCTGAACTTTTTTCAAAGCAATCGTACTGCTTTAACTGCATAGAGAAGAAATATCGAAGCGCGTAAGCGCCGCGTCGCCGTCTAACAAATAAACATTGGAACCCATAGGAATGTAAACAAAATTTATACTTATTGTTAAAATCTCTATAAAATATCTGATAATTTGATGTGCATATGTCTAATGATTTTTGACCGCCTTTTTTTACTTTTTTTACTAGGTCTCCGAATCTTGCCCCATATCTTTGGAACGGCTAGACATACCTTTGCCAAAAACTAATCAGCACGTCTCCTTATCAATATAAATCGAATATTTTTTTAATTATTCAAATCGCTTCATCCGTGTTCCCGAAATCGTCGACGAAAATTTGTATCCACACACACACATACACGTACATACACACACATCCATTTTTTTTAAGATATGCCAAAATGTTCTGAAGGTTTTGAAACATAAAGATATATAAAAATGCTCATTTTCGATTTTTTTGCGATTACTATAACTTGCCCTACTGGAAGTTAAATAAAAAAAAACGCTTCACGCAGAAAATGATTTGATAAGTGAATTTCAAGAACTAGATTCAACGGAGTAGCCAGCAGAAATAGAAATCGGTTATGGAAAAAATGAAATTGAGCCATTATGCACCAGATTTAATTCAACAGTACTGATGCGATCTCTCAATGCGTTAGAAGATTATTTTGATACTGGAGGCTAAGTAAATTCCTAAAAAAATATTGTACCTTGCAGTTCGGCAGAGGTGTGAGCGCGGATTCAGTAATATGAATATTATTTTAAATAAACAAAGAAATAAAATATTAATTGGAAATCTAGCGCTTACTAGGAAAAGCGCCAATGAGTGGCTCACCACAAAAATTATTTAATCCAGATAATTATGTAAAAACTTGAGAGAACCGATTTTTGAATTATTTTTTAAACTGGGTTTTTAATTTCAGCGTTCCGGTAAAAAAGATATTAGCACAACACCACTGGGTGTAGTATATGTTTTGTACGGATACAATTTTTCGTCCACGATTTCGGGCGCACGGATCAACTGATTTGAATTATTTTAAAAAAATTCGATTCCTACTGATGGGGTGGTTGATTAGTTTTTGACAAAGACAGATGCAGCCGTTTTGGAGACAACGAACAAAATTTGCAAAAAGTAGCAGTTATTGAGATAACGGATCGTCTGATTAGAATGACTCAAAAAACATTTGGCTTTTGTTGGCAGTGTTAAGAACTTATTAGATTTTGGGGAAGACAAATAAAAATTACGTAATTTTGATTTTTAAATTTCAAAAAATATTTATTTTAAATGTTGAAAATGATTCGAATTTCAATTTCAATTTTGCACGAATAGTTTAGTCTGGTAATTATAAATTACATCATCTAGTATCGATAAATAAAACTATATATACTTAGTTGAAGATGTAACCGATAAGAATAGGAAAGCAGCCCGACTTTGTGAAATCGAAATAGTAAAGAAGTAAGCTTTTTGTGAGGTTTCTATAAATATTTTTGTCTCAGCTGTAATTATTTGATAATCAATCAATCAATCAGATTATTTAATTGACAATCGTTCAAGCATAATATACTAATAGAATTTGTTCAGGTGAATTCAGTAGTTTCACTTTCGAACTTCGAAGATGTTGGAAATAAAGGGGTCAATGAATGTATTCTCATATGGTCCCCGGTGAAATAGACCACAACATAGCGTTGTTAAGGCTCCTTTCTTGCTGCTAAAAACTATCAAAATGCTATGTATTTGCTGTGTAATAAGGCGTTTTAGATATTAAACCTGTCCTAGTAACGCACGATGTTATCATTAGTGCATCTTTGTAATGCGCACCTATAAGATATACCTGAAGTTAGTTTTTATATATGTTTTAATGTATGTACGCCTGATCACACAGCAAATATATAGCATTTTGACAGTTTTTAGTACCAAGAAATAAGCGTAACATAACGTTTCCAATTATGGTGAGGATCACTGTGATATAAATATTCTTTCACCATAAGATATGTGAATAAAACGACTATTTAGTTTATGATATATATTGAACTTCACTCTACAAACTTCTTCTCTCATTACATTTGCTAGCCCCATATTTTTGATACGGCTGATACGGCGGTAGTTACGCCTCTGAATATAACAAAAGTTGCAAAATATTTGATATTCGGTTCCAGTTAATGATCACATCGAATGATTAAAAACTGTTCAAAATATTTTGAATGTACTTTACGATTCTAGTTTCATAGATTTGTCGTATTAATAGTTTGTTTGAAAATAAATAGTATGTTTTTTTTATTTGATCAAATTATTGGTGTATCCATATCAAAGTATATATATCAAAGAAATAAAGTTCAAATACATTTGTTTTCAAAATATATAATTTTTTCTTTTATATCGCACAATATATACATTTAAAGCTATTTACAATCCGTACTATATTTACAATCTATTAAATTTACAATATAGAGTAGATGATACTTATGTTTAGATATCAGGTACATCTTAATTCAAAATTTTTGTATTTACACTACATTAAAACTTACTCAATAAATTTAAATATTATTTACAAGTACGATTCAATCAATCGATTGGATCTATAGAATATTATATTTACAAAGTATACAAAATAATTTAGCAGTCTTTGGTCAACATGTGGCACACTAAATATGTATTTGTTAACTATGAACTCTTTCTTTGTGATATCCCGAAATTTGTTATATTAGCCATCACATACAAGCGTGTCATATTTTCTTTCGAAAGAAATTTGTCCTAATCACATATTGTTAAAATTATTCACATTGGCAACGGTTAAATCTTCAATTTCATTAGTAGACATTTTAGTGAAGCTGTCCGTCATGCTTTCATGTTCCTCAGCTAATTTTTCTGCAGCAGTCTTTTCATTTGGCAGACAATAAGGTTCTAAAAGACCTGTAATATGTAATTATATTAAAAATCTATGTTTACTTATATTATGATAATATAATATACAGGCAGATATTTTACTCTTTGAAAAAAAATTATGTATTTATGTGGAACTTTACTTAATTGTAAAAAATGATTTTTTTTAAATTGAATTGCATTTGTGTATTTACTGGTTTCAGATTATAACAATATCGTAGCCATTAAAAATTTAACATTTTTATTAACTACTTTTTCTCTTTAAATATAATGTTTATGGACCAATTCTGTGGTAACATAGACGATAACAGCGTTGTTATGGCAACGCTATCATATCTTTCTTTCTTGACAGTATGGAAAAACTGTGAAAATACTATATATTTGATATACAATTAGCGATGTACTCATAAAATCGTATGTTATGAATGCGCATCACATACGATAAGCAGTTAAGATAACATTCTTTATAAGTTTGTCTATATGTAAAATACGCCTGATCGCACAGCAAATAAATAGCATTTTTACAGTTTTTAGTATCAAGAAATAAGGATAAGATAGCGTTACCAGAACTAAACTATGTTATTGTCTATATTACTGCAGAATTGGCCCCTCATTCACCTTACTTAAAATGAGGATTAATTAGAGTTTTAATTTTTAAAATTTTATGAACTGCATACATAGTATTTATGTAGTATAAGTACTAATACTAATTCATATTTTTGTCAAACATTTACGTATTTCTTTGCAGATTTGCAAATATTTATTGAATTTTGTTGAAAGTTGGATAAACTTTTAAAGAAATTCAAATCTTTTATAGAAATGAAGTGTCTTCTTAATGAATTGTAAATTATTTTTTAGTTATTATATATATATATATATATATATATATATATATATATATATATACATTAGGGTGATCATTATCGAATTTTCTTGCTCCCAGGGGCTCAAATGGTTCCAAATTGATAAAATACAATTCTCTGAAAGTTTTAGCTCTTAATATTAACGTTTAGATAGAGCGCAATTCAATCAATCTTCGTATGGAAAGAGCATGGAATTTTGAAAATTAAAAAAAATGTTTTAGGTATAACTTAGCGACAAATGAATGAATTTTATTCATTCATTTGTTCGCTAAATTACATCTAAAAACATTTATAAAATTTTTGATAATTTGTCCATGCTATTTCCATACAAAACTTTGATTGAATTGCGCTCTATCTAAATGTTAATATTAAGAGCTAAAACTTTCAGAGACTTTAGAGCCCCTGGGAGCAAGGAAATTCGAAAATGACCATTTTAAGGACCACCCTAATATACATATATATATATATATATATATATATATATATATTTATAATAAAAGAAATTACGAACCTGATAATCCTGTTAAGTCTGTTGAATTCAGTTGAGCCAATTGCTGACTATCCATATTCATCAGACTATTAAAACTGGGACCATCACTGTTTTGAACTGCATTCAATAGGGGTGCAGGCATTGCTTTGGACTCGTTTTGTTTTCTTGCAGTTGGCTTATGCACTGTTGACGGTTGATCATTTAACAATTTTGATATTTTAGGAACATCCTTTTCGCTGAAATACGTAGCATGCTGTTGATATTTAGAGACATCCGGACATTGAGCCTCACTTTTAACTATATATTCTTGATAATGGTTAACGGCAGGAAGATCTTTAGGTTGGCTATTATTAGGAATTGTTTCCTTCTTCATCATATCATAATGATATCTATTCGCTAAGTATTTATACTCGTCATTGTGCTGGTAGTAGTAGTTCGACTGTTGTTGTTGATGGTACTGCGACATATTTTGGTTTTGTAGGGAGTACATGTCTGCAGCTTTCTCCGACGCCTGGTGCTGATTGGCAACCGGTGTTTGGCGATCCTTAAGAATGTCTAGGCGGTCCGTAGTGCGCGGCCATTGATACTGGCTGCCGTGGTAGATAGATTGGGTATAAGGCGCAGCAGGAGCATGGTATCGGGGGCAGGGGGTAATGTCGTAGGGCGTAGGATAGCGGTAGTGCGACGTCGGCCCGAGCGTGCGCCAATCCTGGTAGAAAGAACTCGGGGCCGGGGCTTCTGCAACAGGAGGAGGCATCTATGAAAATATTACAGCCCGAACTTTCGTAACGATTAAGTCAATGCGCAACAGTGTCGTAGCCATTACTTATTTAACGATATGTATAAACAATAGATTAAGTAAAAAGGTATAAAATTATAGATACAGAAGATTGTGAATAAAAATCAATGTTTTTTTCAATAATTATAAGTTGCAGTAAAAATTATTTGTACAATTTCTATTTTTTAAAACAGTTCGATATACAATATTATTGTTTTTTTTTTGTGCAAATGTATTAGTTGATTGTATAATTTGTCATATAATTTATGAAAAAAGCGTATTTTTGAGTACTTTTTGACTCCCGAGTTTCTGTAGAGTTTTCGAATGTTTGGCATACTTTATCAAGAAATCCAGTTGTTGTAGGGCCTAATGTTGTTAGACAATATTATTAATCATTTAATTTTGAACAAATTTCCCAAATATACTATATAGATTCTATTAATATTTCAAAAGTTATAAATCAAATTTGTGCAAAAATTTATCCCTTTTTATTCGATGTACCGGCCTATAAATAATATCCTTCGTACTTTTGATATACCCTAGATGATTTCGACCCTTCTATAAAAATGAAACAATTATTTATTTCGTGCTTAGTTCTCTGGGATACAAGATTAAACTAGTTGGTATTATGGTATACTTGCCTTGAGGCAAGTTACATGAACTTCCCGATATGTGTAAATAATCGACTTAATCAATAATAAACAAATTAATTTATAAGTGATTAGAAGTATTCCGAGTGAATTTATTACACATAATTGAAAACGAACGAACACGTTAACTCGGAGTATTTTCTAGAAGCAAATTTTCGATTTTTATATTTGATCCAGTTTCCGTAGGACTTTATAATGGTTTATTAATACTAAATACTCTAACGTTATGCCAAGTAAATCGTCTAATTTTAATTTTAACAAACATCAACAAAACTACTCATTTTCTCAAACTATGATGATTTTTTTAAATTAAACTACTTGTCGTAAGGCCGTAATATTTCAGTAAGTTCTATAAGACCATGATATACATCGCCGAATAAAGTTTCATAAAAATCGGCTTCAATTTTTTTTCAGCAGTTAATTACAAGAAGACAGCTCGGTAGATTTTCACCTAAAACTAATCAGTATCATTCCCAACTAATATCTTTCGAAAAGTTTTTGATTTTTTAAAATCGATTGGGTAGAATGAGCTTAAATGTGGACGAAAAGTTTAACACTCTTTTTCAAATTACAAAAAAACTGTTCGGCAGATCGTCTCTCACAATTGACAAACTATTGGGCTCATTGTCGTAGGGCGGTAATATTTTAGTATGATCTAGAAGACTATGATATTTACCGTCAAAAAAACATAAAAATCGTCGAAATTTTTTTAAAAAAACTTTATTACAAGAAAACGGCCCGGCCAATCGGGGCGATACATGTAACAAGAAAAAAAAAATCGATTTTTTTTTCTTTCATAAATCGTTACAATAACATCTCAAAAATATGCCTGTAAATATTCAAAACAAAATTATCATTATTTATACAATAAAAACTCATTTAAGTGCCACGCCTCAACTCGACGCTTGAGTGCTATTGTACTCTTATCTGTTTCTGTGTCAAAACTTTAAACGCGTTTTTCTCAAAACGACATTTTTGAAATTTGCGGGCGGGATAACTCAAAAAGTTCTCAACCGATTCCAATGAAATTTTGCACACATCTACTTTACAGTAATACCTTCTAGTTAAAATTCAAACATTCCAAAATTTTTTTCAAAAATTAACCCTTTTACCAAAAAAACCATTGAAAAAAAGGTGAAAAATCGAACTTTTTTTTTCTAAGGTGTGCCAATTTACGATTTTGTGACTTTTTTAATTTTTTTTTGGTTTAACTAGAAGATATATGTTTCATGAACACGTACAAACTAATTTTTTTAAATTCAGATCACCGTACGAAAAGTGAGAACGCCCGCAAATTGATGGCGTTTTCCGAGAGGGTCTTGGCAGATTTATTTTTACGGCAGCCATTTAAAAAAAAAAAATTAAAAAAAAATTTTTTTTGTGTATTTTAATATATAATAAATAACCCTAAAAAAGTTCAAAAAGATTCAATCATTCCTTCCAAGTTTAAAAAGTCCTCAAAAAATGGTAAAAATTAAGGCGATTACATGTATCGCCCCCCTTAACCAAAAACTAATCAGCACGATTCCCAACCAATATCTTTCGAACGGTTTTTGAATTTTCAAAATCGATTCAGAATTGCGAGCTAAAACGTGGACGAAAATTTTTTCACTTTTCTGCGATTTACAAAGAAACGGCTTGGATGATCGTCGCGCAAAGTTGATAAACGCTAGTCCTTAACGAGATACATCGAATGGCTTTTAAATTTTTGAAATCGGTTTTTGAGAAAACTTCGATTTACGGCAAAAAATCTGTGCGTGCATACGCACACACACATACTTTTTCCGAAATTTTGTCTCATTCGATTTAGAATGGCTTGAAACGTCGAGAAAACAAAATTAGCGATTCGAATTTTTTGATGAAAACATAAACTTTTCCTTCGGGAAGTTAATATAATTACCACATGATTATATTATTAACGTCATTATAAACATACTATACGAATTTGTCATGCAAGAAGAGAAATTCAGCGTAGAGATTATCTAGGTTTTACGCAAGTCTGATACAGTTACAAGATTCATTCGCTGTCGTGTGACTTCAATTATATTAATTTTGGGTGTAGATAAATTTATGAGCCGCGTGAATAGGAAACACAAATTATTCATAAAGCAATTCAATTATCATAATATTATATAATTTGTACTAAGTTTACGTAGACAGATTTAACAATCAGATGTACCTACTATAAAATAAATCAATTCCAACTATGGAATTAAATTAGATTTTCACAAAAGCTTTCAAAATTAATTGTTCTCAGGCATCTGATTTTAAGTTATAGACAATTTTATGGTTTTCAAAAAAAGCTAAAACAGCAATTGAAAACGAATAATGTATAAACTTTTTTTTAACTATTTGTGTATATTTATACATAATTATATTTTTAATCGAATTCAAACCAAATTTCGTTGATCGCGTTCTAAATATAATGGCAATTCGTATTTTTTCCTTTTATTTATTTCATATTACCCATTTTCTAATTTGGCTTCACTCTCAGCACCTACGCATGTAGGTTTTGCGTAGATTATTAATATGCTGCAAGTCGTAGCAATGCCGTTTCATTATTTTTAAATGTTATTTTATTAAATTTAACGATTATCCGATTTGACGCGTTATGAGTTAAAAATACGCAATCCACTTTGCTTGACTATGACTAGTAAAAACCTCAATGTTTGTCCACAAAAAATGATACATTTTAGTTGAAACTATCTTAGTTGAAACTATCAAAATGTATGTATATATATATATATATATATATATATATATATATGTGTGTATATATAAATATAATAAACTAATAATATAATGCATTGCATTAATGCTCACCATTTCGACCAAGATTCAGGGGCTCTTGCATCATATGCATTGGATGATGACCATGCTGATTTTCTTCAACGGGTATGTTCATCATGTTTTCTTCCTTCTTGGTTTGAACATCTGCAAATGATACAATAAAATTAATACCCACTAGTAATTTTTTATTGTTTTTCAACATGACTCGTGTGCAATTTATAATTATTAAGGAAAACATCGCTTTTTATCCACAATTTTTTTGTCTCTATAAATTTATACGCTTGCAAAAACAATAAAATATGGAGATTAGTATAATTCAATTTAAAATATTATTTTTCCTGTTATAGGACGTTAACAATTTAATGCAATATTTCAGAAAAATACATGAAGATTTAATAAAATATGCATTAATCTGATAAAATTTTATATAAAATTGAATTATATTGCCTAATAGATCGTTCAACTATTCAAACTTTCTCTCCAGTATGGTATTTTTTTCTTTTTACGTCAATGTGTTACATTTAACATAAAAAATGAAACATGAATAAATTATGATTATTTGAGTAGACATTATTGCATCAAATGTACGCATCTATTTATAAATTTAAATCGTAAAACATTCAAAACTGACCTAACTTGTTTTAATGACGCATTCATTTGGGTAAAAGACGCAATCTGAGTAACATTTATGCGATTGTCTTGCGTGCCGATGAATAAATTAGAGTTCCACAATAAATTAAATTGATAGATACGTTGTAAAAATTAATTCAATAAATCATCAATGATTTTTTTTTTGTTCTTAATGTAATATGAAATATACACTTATGTTAAAAATAACTTACGCACTTTCGTTTGTTATTTAACTTTAATTCATGTAACTTATTATTAATTATTAAGACATCCTGTAGGAAATGACAAATTTCCATTTTATATTTAACTGAATATACGGAAGAGGTGGCTGCCCTTCTTTATTTTATGGACGTTCTAAAAGAAATTCAATTTCATCAATGATTTCATTTTAGTAGAGTTTATTTCGGTCAATTAGGGGGCGTCCATTAATCACGTGAGCGATTTCTAAGGATTTTTGGACCCCCCTCTTCCTTGGTAATATGTGGTGATATTTAAAATGATCCCGCCTTCTCTACACAACATCACGTTTAGTTTTATTACACAGAAAAAAATTCTGTAAAATTTTTGAATAATTTTTGAAAAACTTTAGATTTTTTTAAATTGAGGTAAAAAATACATACACGTGATATCTTACTAGACCTCCCTCCCCTACATGATATTTTGTGATTTTTTGTAATCCCACTTTAAGGCTCACGTGATTCATGGACGCCTTCTTATGCGATTTTGCTCGAGACAACGAGAAATAACTAATACATTTTTAGATTTGATTATGAAATATACCTGATTAAATTTTCTAAAGAGATAAAAAAAAACTTACTTAAATTATTTTCGTCGCCATGTTTTTGAAGCTGTTTGAGCAGATGTCCTGCGTCAGTGGTCATTCGTGCTTTTTTCGAGGCAGGTTGGCTGGAATCTATTTTTAAAAAAATATTAAAAATTTACATAAAATACTTACAAATTATGATAATAAATTGTTTTTAATTTATCAAAGTGTATTGATAAAACTAATTCTTATCTTTCTTACCAATATTAGTGGGGGCAAACTGGAATGCTAAAGGCTCACTAACCGCACCGTCTGATGGTCTTCTTAGTTGGATAAATGCCTTAAATCAAAATAATCAATCAATAAACTTTTTCTAATAAAAATTGCAAGGAAAAATCTTGAATATATTTTGAAATCTTACCTTTACTGGTTTTTCAATATCTTGATTTTTGTAAGATGGCGTTCTGAAAGAAATGGCAGTTTGTTTGTGCACGTTGCTAAATTTAAAATAGCCATAGTCTTCCCAGCAAACTAAACCATCCTGCTCTTCAAAAAATCTCACGGTAATATCATCTTTGTTCACCTAAAATCCCAAATTAGTATTAAATACTGTACATTATATAATTCAACGCTTTTCTAATGATATTAGTTGACACAAAACTAATCAATTAATTATTATAATTATTTTTAATTATCACAAAAAATTATTACAAAAATATCTTTGATGTAGGTACCTAATTTTAAATAATCTAAGTTCATAAGTTTTTAAGTATTTATTATTTGCGTAATTTGAATTTATTTATTAATGCCGTTAAATTTGCAAAAGGTTGAAAACCCTATAAAAAGATTGACTATTACTTCATAAGCTAACTCAAATGAAGGTAATTATTTAAGAATAACCATTTGAAATAAATATTTAATTAATTAGTAATAATGAAATACTATTAGGTTTTAACTACTAGGAACATTAATTCCATACCCATACCGCGATGATTCTCAATATGTTACCTTTTCGCATAATAGAATTATTTTCTGGCCTCCCGCCGCGGACGCCGTGCATTGGCTGAGTTCACATATAACTAAATCTGATGTTGATTTCTTGTCATAAATAGGCTCAGAGACAACTGGACGTAAAGGGATCGTAAATTTACCATGGGCATCGCCCTCGAGGATGACTTGGAAACATAAACGCACGGCGTTCAAATCTATACTGCTAGGTTCGGAAGCGTGAGAAAACCCAGCTGAAAAATATTACTATTAATTTACATAATGATAAATTTAAATAAAAAATAATATAAAAAAATTGCTTACTTCTAAACGGATCTACGTTGATGTCTTCTCGTAGTTTGAGAGATTGTTTGATGTCTTTCTTTTTGACGCATTGCACACCTAAGTTGTTGAAAGTGATTGTCATGTCGTTAGCTTCTTCAATTTTTGCTGTGCACACACCTTTTGTACACCAATCTTTTCCGACTAAATTGTGGGGGTGAGGTCTGAAATTCATTTTAGATATTATTGAACGTGGCGAAAGAAGCGTATACAGTAGACCAGTTCGTCTTAAAAAAAAACTTGCGAATGATCTAATAAACACCAGTTTGTATTACATATCAATATCATTGAATTAAATTTACAAGCGTATATGAATAAAAAAAATGGTTAGGTGTGTGTATACAGTATATGTCTTATGCGTAACTGGATGCAAACTAGAATCTTTTAACAGACCTGTACGGTTTATCTTTAGAAACGCACGAAACTACAACCAGCGCTCGTCCTTTATAGCCCACAACCTGGATCGAAGGAAACGTCCTGTATTCTGGCGTACTGCTTATGCCAGGGATTGAGCCAGCTGATCTACCTTCGCACTCATAACGGAATCTATAAAAACAATACAATGATATTAATCTTTAAATAACCATATTTTCTGTAAATAAACTCATATGCAAATCGATCAAGATTTTCCAAATTTGTGATAAACTACAAAGATTGTGACAAAAACTTAAAATTCGTAACCGATTAGAAAATGTTGAAATTCATGCGAGATTCATCGTTTCAATTTAATCGCTACTGATGGGGAGACGTGATGATTTTGGCTAATTGTAAGATAAGTGGTTTGAGAGATACGGAGCTAAGTGATTCAAACTAGTGGTGTATGGCATCGTGTCGGGCAAATTGCTGGAACTTCCCGTACCAAAAATTAAATTAAATATATATATATATATATATATATATATTGAGAAAATTAGATTTTTGAGAAATTTTAAATTTTTGAAATAAATTGGCTTTATTAGGAAAAAAAACTTAATAAGAATGTTTTTTTCTATTTTGAAATATTTAGGAAAGTTTGAACTTTTTTTCAAAGCAATCGCACTGCTTTAGCTGCATAGAGACGAAATATCGAAGCGCGTAAGCGCCGCGCTGCTATCTAACGGCAAACGATGTTACGGAACCCATAGAAATGTAAACAAAATTGATACACATTATTAAAATCTCCATAAAATATCTGATAATTTGATATGCATATATCTAATGATCATTTTTGTCCGCCAAATTGCATTTTTTTACTTTTTTCACTAGATCTTCGAAACTGCTAAAACTGCCTTACCTTAATCAGTACTTCATCTTGTCAATACAAGTAAAATGTTTTTTGAATTATTAAAATCGGACGCCCCGTTCTCTTAAAAACTGAGATACCGTTTTTGGCACTTTTGCCCTGTATCTGCGGAACGGCTTGACCTAATATAACCACTAATTTTTATTTGCATGCTCATTATTTTAATATGCTTCATAATCAAACAAAAATTTGCGAAGTCAGTTTGACGTCATAAATATGCACGTCTATTTTTTTTAAAAAAATTTGATTAGAAATTAATAAATTAATTTCAAACAAGTACGAAATAGATTCAATGAGTAGTTATTAGATAAAATATAGTAGATTCTTCACACGATAAAATAAATATGTGTTAGGTTGAAGAGCAACTTCCGAAAAACCATTGGAAATAATCGTTTGTGATCACCAAACAAATTCCGAAACATACAAATATTTAATAACATAAAAAAAATAAAAAGTAGTCTATGAAGAAAATAATTTTAGACTTAACTAGTGAGGCGCATGGCATCGTGCCTCAAGGCAAATTGCTGGAACCTCCCGTACCAAACATTTTTTTTAAAACGATTAACATTTTAAAAAAAAATACTCTAAAAAAATTTGATTTTTGAGAAACTATAAATTATTTACAAAAATTTACTTTTTTTTTAAAAAAAACGACTTTTTGAAGAAAAATTTATTTTGAAATATTTTGGATATTCTGAACTTTTTTTCAAAGCAATCGTACTGCTTTAACTGCAAAGAGACCAAATATCGAAGCGCGTAAGCGCCGCGATGCCGTCTAATGTTTAACATTGGTACGGAACCCATAGGAATGTAAACAAAATGGGTACTTATTGTTGATATATCTATAAAATATCTGATAATTTGATGTGCATATGTCTAATGATCATTTTTGACCGCCAAATGGCATTTTTTTACTTTTTTTACTAGATCTCCGAAACCGCTAGACCTCTTGTTAATACCAGTAAAATGTTATTTGAATTATTCAAATCGCTTCATCCGTGTTCTCGAATTTGTTGACGAAAATTTGTATCCGCACACACACACATACACACGCACACACACATACACGCACGCACACACACACACGCACACACACACATACATCCATTTTTTCTAAGATATGCCAAAATGTTCAGAAAGTTTTGAAACGCAAAGATATATAAAAATTTTAATTTTCGATTTTTTTGCAATTACTATAACTTGCCCTAGGGGAAGTTAAAAATTTAATAATTAAGTTACAATTAAAATAAAATTGATAAGAAATGAAACATAAAATTCCTAAAATAATAAACCCTTCCCTTAGTAAACTAAGTATTTCTTATCAATATTAAAACTAATATATAATTTTTATTACCTTAAAGCTTTCGGGGCAGGTTGTTCTATTATTCTAACATAAGCGTTCTTTTTAATTTGCGCGGGCGTTGCTGTGTTTTGGGTGGGCGTAACAGGCGAAGGCACCGTAGCTCCTTCTGGTAATTCCGCGTTCCTGAAAGGCTGATTTATGTAACCTGGTTCTGCACTCTGTGCCTGACCTAGAAATATAATTATGTAGTTGGTGCATAAGTTTATCAATAATAAAATACCTATTTCATCTTGAAAAATAAACATTTATATTTAAAATAGATTTTCCATATTTATCTATATTCATAATATAGAAAATTATAATATAGATAGTCATATATTGTTATCAATATTTTATGAATTTTCCCTTATTATTATAATTAAAAATTAAATTAAAGTTTAAGTACAACAAAAAATATAAGTCAAAATTAAAAGTTTAGTTTTTTTTAGATTTCTGGGTGCTTTGATAAATTATATACAAAAAGTACTTATTTATACTAAATAAAGCATAGTAAGTTTTCACAAATTTATGAAGTTAAGAAATTTTACGCTTTTTTCAATTCCAAACACTATTTTAATGTAAATTAAATTAAATAAGTTATAATGTAATATTTAATTTTGATTAGATATTACTAGTTATTTCTTATTTAAATAATTTTTGCAGAAATTATAACCATATTAATTAATTGTTGCTAAAATAATATAATAACTCATTTTAATAAATCTTACATTTTCTGCAACATTTTATTAACTTAATGATACAAAATAATTGTATCAGTAGCAGTACAGAATATTTATTTAATTTTAATAAAAACGTATTAATGTAATATGATTATATCAAACTGCACATGCCTAATGCTTTAACAGAAGTTAATATAAATAACGATTTATTAAAACAACAAACAGATTTCTATAAAAAAAAGTGTACATATTAAGCTGATTCGAGGTTATACTGCATTTACAACTAAATTCGACAGATGTTTCCTTCATTCGCATTATTAAGACTTTATTTAGGAGAAGAATTACTTTTTTGATACTTTTGAGTTATTTTTTACCACAGCTTAGATTTATTTTATGCGATTCCTATCACACTATAAACAATTGTTATTGCAATACGGATAATGGTTGCATGCATAATATTATGTATTTTTATGAATTAAGAAAATAGCTTTCACCGTTTCAAATATAAAGGGGTAATATTTTTTTTTTTTTAAATTAAACTAAAATATTAATATAGTACTTACTCATTCTATATTTCTTCATATCCATTGCGACTTCTACCCTAAATTTCACCACTAATATCACAGAAAACACTTAAATATTATCTATAATTGTTTCAAAATATTATAAAAAAACTAATTTATTATCACAACATCGTATTCATATTTTTATTTTTGGCATATCAAAATCCCAGTGCCGAGGAAAGTCCAAAATAAATTTTGAAATTTCCGAAAAAACTCCCGACAATACACCTTGCACACGATCATTTAAACTGGAAATTCCGAAACCGACTGTTCGATCTTGGTGACCGCACGGGAGTGAGAAGAGTTTCGTTCGGGCACATCGGGAATTTTGGAAAAGTGGGTAACACTCATAAAAATTTAAATCTTCAAATTACGGATCAAGCACACCTACCAGTGTACTTAACCAGTTTGCTGATTGGGTTATAACGGGTACTTAAGGTACCTCTCCACTTTGGATTTCACCTCACAATAAAAATGTTAGGTACCTGTCGGAATACCCTATTGTAGTTTTTGATATTATAATCGCATAGATTATCTGTTGCCTCGAATTTATTACTGCCAACGAATTGGTCTTTGCAAGCAATACACCAGGGCCGTAATAAGTAATATCATTAATTTATCAGGTATGGTATAATTTTATAAATTTTCTTGGCAATGTATAGTATACAGTATAAAAATATATATATACGATCGGTAAGACTTTGATTTGTTTTAATTTGTTTTGTGTTTCTAATTAAGAACTAGTAATCTAATTAAGAACAAGAATCTTTCTTAATATATAATAAGTAATAAGTAATATCATTAATTTATCAGGTATGGTATAATTTTATAAATTTTCTTGGCAATGTATAGTATACAGTATAAATATATATATATATATACGATCGATAAGACTTTGATTTGTTTTAATTTGTTTTGTGTTTCTAATTAAGAACTAATAATCTAATTAAGAACAAGAATCTTTCTTTAAAATACAATGTTCGTTTTTCGCTTTCCGAATGAAGTGCTTATTTTGGTTTTATAGCAAGTTATAGTAATCGCAAAAAATTGATAATGAAAATTTTTATATATCTTTACATTGCAAAGGTATCCGAACGATTTGGCATATCTTAGAAAAAATTGATGTATGTGTGTGGGTGTAGGTGTGTATGTATGTCCGGATACAATTATTTGTCGACAATTTCGAGAACACGGATCAACCGATTTGAATAATTCAAAAAACTCGATTCGATTTCTATCGATAAGTTTTTGACAAAGGCAGGTTCAGCCGTTTCGAAGATACGGGGCAAAAAATGCCAAAAATGGTGATTCACTTTTTGATAGAACGGAGCGTCCGAGTTGTATATTCAAAAAACATTTTATTTGTTTGACGAAATGAGGAACTGATAAATATTTTTGGAAAAGCAGGTTTAGCAGTTCCGGAGATCCAATAAAAAAGTGAAATAAAATGACATTTGGCAGACAAAAATGATCATTAGACATATGCACATAAAATTATGAGATATTTTATAGATATTTTAATTATAAGAACAAATTTTGTTTACATTTCTATGAGCCTCGTACCAATGCTTATCCGTTAGACTGCGACGCGGCGAACACGCGCTTCGATATTTCGTTTCTACGCAGCAAATGTATCGCGATTGCTTTGAAAAAAAAGTTCAAAATATCCAAAATATTTCAAAGTATAAAAAAAAATCAAATTTTTCAAAATGGTCAACTTATTTCAATTCTTAAAAATGTATTTTTTTCAAAGTTTAAAAAAAAATTGAATCATGTTTAACAATTAAAATTTTTGGTACGGGAAGTTCCAAAAGCTGAAGGCTTTGCTTTAAGTTGGTTCAGCCTTTGTTTCATTGGGTTCCATATAACGCAGTACAAATTTTGGGTTTTTTTTGGCAGTACAAAACGATAGCCGGTTTCCACACAACGCGCGTTACGAATTAAGAGCTTGGTTTGTACGTTATTTAAAGCCGTTGTCAATTTAGGACTCAAAACTAAATAATTCTAGAGCCCTAATTTAGTCTTCTTCGTATTATGTGTATGGACAACTATTTTAAAAAGTTGTAACAGTATTTCATTTTATTAATAGTATATATTACAAATGAGAACGGAAATAACTTACATTGATAATCGTAAATACACAGCACATTCTGTATTCAATACAAACCTTAATTGCTGATACTGTTATTGTTATGTAGTTTGCAACTATTACTAATACACTTAATATTCCTGTTTATTAGTATTTGTTGATGGAGATCGTCATTTATAACCATAGAACATACTTTGAAGAATAGTAAGGTTTTAACAACAATAGTGTTCTATTCGTATTTAAAAGATATTAGCAAGTAGCAAGTTCATGAAATAAAATATATGTACTCTGAAGAAATATATTGCTTCAATAAGTTATAATTTTATTTACATTCTATAAAATAGAAACTTGTATTATAATTTCCAGTTCGACTCTGGCATCACCTGCAAATGCCGACCTATGTACAATTTTCAAATGTACAGCTTATAGCATCGCACACCTGTTACTAATTGAAAGGCTTTATTAGTTCTGTGCATAATAAAATTCTCTGAAATTCCAAAATCCGTAATTGTAAATTTTATAATAAAATAGTTGGTATTGGTATTCTGCCTTAAGGCAAGTTACATGAACTTCCCGATATGTGTAAATAATCGACTTTCAATAATAAATAAATTAATTTATGAGTGATTAAAAGTATTCCGAATGCATTTATTACACATAATTGAAAACGAACAAACACGTTTACTTGGTAATTTCTTAAAGCAAATTTTCATAATCAATAATTTTTATAATTGAACCAGTTTCCGTAGGACTTTAATGGTTTAGTATGTTCATTAAGGCCAAGTACTCTCGTACAAACGTCAAAAAAACACTATTTTTTTCAAACTTTGATGAATTTTTAAAATTAAACTAACTATTGTCGTAAGGCCGTAATATTTGAGTAAATTCTATAAGTAACAAAAGTAACTAGTGGTGCATGGCATTGTATCTTAAGGCAAATTGCTGGAACTTTCAGTACCAAAAATTTAAATTGTTACATAAGATTCAATTTTTTTTGAACTTTGAAAAATTTTATATTTCAATAATTTTATTTATATATCAATAATTTTAATTTTTTGATATTTTAAAATATTTTGAAAAATTTAATTTTTTTTAAATATCGCGAAAAAAAGTTACATAAAAATTGGGTTAAATTTTTTTCAACAGTTAATTACAAGAAAACGGTTTGGTAGATTTTCACCGAAAACTAATCAGTATCATTCCCAACTAATATCTTTCGAAAAGTTGTTGATATTTTAAAATCGATTTGGTAGTATGAGCTTAAGGTGTTACACTCTAGCAGTAAAAAAACACGTATGTTTTTGCCATTTTTTTCGGATGGAAGAAAAAGTATTAAAATCATGATATTAAAGATAGTTATTTATTGTACTTCCGAAAAAAAATGGCAAAAACATACGTTTTTTTTACTGCTAGAGTGGTCAGTGGCGTAACTATAGGGTGGCGTGGGTGGCAAAAGGCCACGGGCCCCCGACCCAAGGGAGCTTTTTATCTTTTGTTTTTTGTTTTATGCGATAAAGAGCTGCGATGGATCTGCATTCGAAAATCTTTAGTTTGTATATATGATATGATATGAATAAATGAATTTATTATTGTATATATAATTAAACTATATCGACTTTTGAGATAATAACCGAACACGCGAAGAACTCTTTTCTCAATATTTAAAGAATACAGTATTGTTATATTTTTGTGTTATTTAATATAAATCATTTAACTCATCATTTGCCAGAGAAATTTAGTTAATAAATCAAAATAAAAGTATTGAAACTTTTCAATCAGGGGTATTGATTAAAACATGAATTTTTATAAAGATCGAACGTTACTACTCAATAACTCAATCAATAAACAGTAATTAACAGTAAAAAAGAAATGGTAAATGGAAGGATATGTAATAATTACGTTTAAGAAAGTTGTATGTCCTTTTTATTTTCATTAAAAAATACGTTTTATTTTAATTTCCATTTATTTTAACGTTGAAAATATTCACCAATATTTCATGTTTGATTATCAAGAAAATTCAGTTTTATGTATTTTTTGTTATTTTTCTATAATCACAACTAAATTAAGAAAAAAATTTACCTCTAAACCAATACTTCACTTTTTTACCTTTTATATAATTTCATAATTTAAAGCCATAAAATATAAATTAGTCGAAGTTGGTTTGCTAATTTGTGATAAAGTTGAATAAAAGTCGTTTTAGCCATTAGTAAAACAGCATGTAAATAACTACTTAACGTTTATTATTGCTTAGCCGATCGTGGCACAAAACCGACAAACGTGCTCAAATAGTCCTCATGGAGATACATCGAACGGCTTTTAAATTTTTGAAATCGGTCCAGCCGTTTTTGAGAAAATGTCGATTTACGGCAAAAAATCTGTTCACATACACGCGCGCATACAGCACACATACTTTTTCCACATTTGGTCTCATTCGATTCAGAATGGCTTGAAACGTCGAGAAAACATAAACTTCTTCTTCGGGACGTTAATAATTATGCATTTTAGTATGTTCAAAACAGCTTTCACTTTAATATGCCAACGATTTTACTACACTAATATTAATTAACTTCCCTTAGAGTAAGTTATTGTAATAGTCCAAAAAACGTAATCGAAAATGTTTGCATTTCTTCACGTTTTGAAGGTTTCTGAACATTTTGGCATACTGCATAAAAAATGGATGTGATGTGTATGTGTGTGTGTGTGGGTGTATGTAAGGTTTTCAAACTTCATTGTAGAGCAGTCGTGGCCGAGTGGTTGAGGCGTCTTGAAATCAGATTCCCTCTGGGAGCGTAGGTTCGAATCCTACCGACTGCGGTTGGTTATATTTTACCAAACTATATTTTTAAGTGATTTTGCTTGGCTCGCCCGTAGGTAAGCGGTTAAGAGCGGCGGGACTTGTTTCAGAGGTCCCGGGTTCGATACCCACTTCGAGTAGCCTGTTGTCAGGCAACATTGACAACGATTTTCACTTGGAAATATAGATAGCAATATGTTTCCAAGTGAAAATAGCCCTCACCCGGCATTGTTGCACCATTCTTGCCCTATTACAGAGATTGTAATAAAAATTTATCATACAGAGATGTGACAACTGTTTGGGTTGCCATCTGTAATAAAAACAAACGTAGTTTGTAAGATATTGATCGCAACAGCTCATAGAACCCATAAGTTCTGGTCGCTGTTCAAATAAAATTATAAAAAAAAGTGATTTTGCTAATGCAGTATCAACAGCATTCAAATTTATTTTGTAGAACAGTCATGATTCAGTGGTTGTTCTCTCTGACTCGAAGTCGGATTTTCTCTGGCAGCAAGGTTTCGAATGTTATATCAAATATTTTTTTTTTTTTTTTTTAATGCAGTACAGTAATACCAAAAGATTTCAGGGTTTTTCGTAGAGCAGTCGTGGCCGAGTGGCCGAATCGAAATCAGATTCTCTGTGGCAGCGTAGGTTCTAATCCTGACGATTGCGATTGGTTACGTTTTAACGAACTATATTTTTAAGTGATTTTTCAAATGCAGTGGAGCAATACTAACATTCAAATTTCTTTCGTAGAACTGTCATGGTTGAGTCGCTGTGGCCTGTGACTCGAAGTCAGATTTCTTCTGGGAGCGCGGGTTCGAATGTTGTATGAAATTATATTTTTAACTTCCCGAAGGAGAAGTTTATGTTTTCATAAAAAAATCCGAATTGCTAATTTTATGTTTTCTCGACGTTTCAAGCAATTCTGAATCGAATGAGACCAAACTTGGAAAAAGTTTATGTGTGTGTGTGTGTGAACACATTTTTTGCCGTAAATCGACGTTTTCTCTAAAACGGTTGGACCGATTTCAAAAATTTAAAAGCCATTAGATGTATCTCGGTGAGGACTAGCGTTTCTAAGTTTTGTGCGACGATCGGCCGAGCCGTTTCTTTGTAAATCGCAGAAAAGTGAAAAAAATTTCGTCCACGTTTTAGCCCGCAATTCTGAATCGATTTTGAAAATTCAAAAACTGTTCGAAACATATTGGTTGGGAATCGACCTGATTAGTTCTTGGTGAAGATCGGCCGGGCCGTTTTCTTGTAATAAAGTGTTAAAAAAATTTTTTTCGACGATTTTCACGATTTTTTTTTTGACGGTAGATACCATAGTCTTATAGATCATACTAAAATATTACGGTCCTACGACAAGTCGTTTTCTTTTAAAAAAAACCGTTAAAGTTTGCAAAAATTAGTGTCTTTTTTTTGGCGTTTGTCAAAATTACAACTTTCATCGACGTTTGCTCAAAAACGTCTGAACCGATTTGAAAAATTTAAAAGCCAATCGATGTATTTTGATGTGGATTATTTTTTGTCAGTTTTGTGCAGCGATCGGCCGAGTCATTTCTTTGTAAATTGGAAAAAGATGTTAAACTTTTCGTGCACATTTAAGCTCATACTACCGAATCGATTTTCAAAAATGAAAAACCGTTCGAAAGATATCATTTGGGATTGATACTGATTAGTTTTAGTTGAAAATCTATCGAGCCGTTTTCTTGTAATTCACTGTTGAAAAAAAAATTTAAGCCGATTTTTATGGAACTTTTTTTGGCGATATATATCATGGTCTTATAGAACTTACTAAAATATTACGGCCTTACGACAAGTAGTTTAATTCTAAAAATTCATCAAAGTTTGGGAAAATGAGTAGTTTTTTTGACTCTCTGAGTGGTCTCTGCTTCGAAGTCAGATTTCCTTTGACAGCACGGGTTCGAATGTTATATCAATTAATATTTTTCCAGAGTTCTTTTACTAATACCACATAGTAATACTAAGGGTTTTCAGATTTGGTTGTAGAGCAGTCGTGGCCGAGTGGTTAAGGCGTCTGACTAGAAATCAGATTCCATCTGGGAGCGTAGGTTCGAATCCTACCGACTGCGGTTGGTTATATTTGAACAAACTATATTTTTAAGTGATTTTTCTAATGCAGTCATGGTTCTGTGGTTGTGGTCCCTGGCTCGAAGTCAGATTTTCTCTCGTAGCACGGGTTGTCAAATCAAATATTTTTTAGAGTTCTTTTCCTAATCCAGTATGGTAATATTAAAGGTTTTTAGAATTAATTGTGGAGCAGTCGTGGCCGAGTGGTTAAGGCGTCTGACTCGAAATCAGATTCCCTCTGGGAGCGTAGGTTCGAATCCTGCCGACTGCGCTTGGTAAAATTTTTATACAAAATATATTTTTAAGTGGTCTCTGCTTCGAAGTCAGATTTCCTCTGGCAGCACGGGTTCGACTGTTATATCAATTAATATTTTTCTAGAGTTCTTTTACTAATACCACATAGTAATACTAAAGGTTTTCAGATTTGGTTGTAGAACAGTCGTGGCCGAGTGGTTAAGGCGTCTGACTAGAAATCAGATTCCCTCTGGGAGCGTAGGTTCGAATCCTACCGACTGCGGTTGGTTATATTTGAACAAACTATATTTTTAAGTGGTCTCTGCTTCGAAGTCAGATTTCCTCTGGCAGCACGGGTTCGACTGTTATATCAATTAATATTTTTCCAGAGTTCTTTTACTAATACCACATAGTAATACTAAAGGTTTTCAGATTTGATTGTAGAGCAGTCGTGGCCGAGTGGTTAAGGCGTCTGACTAGAAATCAGATTCCCTCTGGGAGCGTGGGCTCGAATCCTACCGACTGCGGTTGGGTATATTCAAACTTATTTCGTAAACGAGTCATGATTGAGTGGTTGTGGTCTCTGATTCGAAGGTAGATTTTCTCGTAAAAATTATATTTTTTTAATTACTATTCTAAAGCAGTGCAGTAATACCAAAAGTTTTTAGAGACTTTTGCAGAGCAGTCGTGGCCGAGTGGTTAAGGCGTCTGACTTGAAATCAGATTCCCTCTGGGAGCGTAGGTTCGAATCCTGCCGACTGCGCTTGGTTGAATTTTTATACAAACTATATTTTTAAGTGGTCTCTGCTTCGAAGTCAGATTTCCTCTGGCAGCACGGGTTCGACTGTTATATCAATTAATATTTTTCCAGAGTTCTTTTACTAATACCACATAGTAATACTAAAGGTTTTCAGATTTGGTAGAACAGTCGTGGCCGAGTGGTTAAGGCGTCTGACTAGAAATCAGATTCCCTCTGGGAGCGTAGGCTCGAATCCTACCGACTGCGGTTGGTTATATTTGAACAAATTACTGTGTAAGTGATTTTTCTAATGCAGTAGAGCAATACTAACGGCATTCAAACTTATTTGGTAAAAGAGCCGTGATTGAGATGTTGTGGTCTCTGATTCGAAGGTAGATTTTCTCGTAGAAATTATATTTTTTTAGTTACTTTTCTAAAGCGGTGCAGTAATACAAAATGGTTTTAGAGACTTTTGCAGAGCAGTCGTGGCCGAGTGGTTAAGCGTAGGTTCGAATCCTGCCGACTGCGCTTGGTAAAATTTTTATACAAACTATATTTTTAATTGGTCTCTGCTTCGAAGTCAGATTTCCTTTGGCAGCACGGGTTCGAATGTTATATCAATTAATATTTTTCCAGAGTTCTTTTACTAATACCACATAGTAATACTAAAGGTTTTCAGATTTGATTGTAGAGCAGTCGTGGCCGAGTGGTTAAGGCGTCTGACTAGAATTCAGATTCCCTCTGGGAGCGTAGGTTGGAATCCTACCGACTGCGGTTGGTTATATTTGAACAAACTATATTTTTAAGTGATTTTTCTAATGCAGTCATGGTTCTGTGGTTGTGGTCCCTGGCTCGAAGTCAGATTTTCTCTGGTAGCACGGGTTGTCAAATCAAATATTTTTTAGAGTTCTTTTCCTAATCCAGTATGGTAATATTAAAGGTTTTTAGAATTAATTGTGGAGCAGTCGTGGCCGAGTGGTTAAGGCGTCTGACTCGAAATCAGATTCCCTCTGGGAGCGTAGGTTCGAATCCTATTCGAAAACTATATTTCTATATTTTTAAGTGGTCTCTGCTTCGAAGTCAGCTTTCCTCTGGCAGCACGGGTTCGAATGTTATATCAGTTAATATTTTTCCAGAGTTCTTTTACTAATACCACATAGTAATACTAAAGGTTTTCAGATTTGATTGTAGAGCAGTCGTGGCCGAGTGGTTAAGGCGTCTGACTAGAAATCAGATTCCCTCTGGGAGCGTGGGCTCGAATCCTACCGACTGCGGTTGGGTATATTATATTTGAACAAATTACTATGTAAGTGATTTTTCTAATGCAGTACAGCAATACTAACTGCATTCAAACTTATTTGGTAAAAGAGTCGTAATTGAGATGTTGTGGTCTCTGATTCGAAGGTAGATTTTCTCGTAGAAATTACATTTTTTTAGTTACTTTTCTAAAGCAGCGCAGTAATACAAAATGGTTTTAGAGACTTTTGCAGAGCAGTCGTGGCCGAGTGGTTAAGGCGTCTGACTAGAAATCAGATTCCCTCTGGGAGCGTAGGTTCGAATCCTACCGACTGCGTTTGGTTATATTTGAACAAACTATATTTTTAAGTGATTTTTCTAATGCAGTCATGGTTCTGTGGTTGTGGTCCCTGGCTCGAAGTCAGATTTTCTCTGGTAGCACGGGTTGTCAAATCAAATATTTTTTAGAGTTCTTTTCCTAATCCAGTATGGTAATATTAAAGGTTTTTAGATTTAATTGTGGAGCAGTCGTGGCCGAGTGGTTAAGGCGTCTGACTCGAAATCAGATTCCCTCTGGGAGCGTAGGTTCGAATCCTGCCGACTGCGCTTGGTAAAATTTTTATATAAACTATATTTTTAAGTGGTCTCTGCTTCGAAGTCAGCTTTCCTCTGGCAGCACGGGTTCGAATGTTATATCAATTAATATTTTTCCAG